GTTTTTTTGGTGGGGGGGGGTTTGGGGGGTGGGGGGTAATAATTCGTTTTGGGTTGTAGAAGGGGGAAAGGGGTGTTTTTTTAAAGGGCCGGATTGTGGTTTTTTCCCCTGGGAATGGGGGACGTTTCCGGTTTCCCAAAAAAAATTTGGGACCCGGGGGGGGGGGGGTTTCCCCTTACAGCGGCCCTTTTTTTTTTTTGTTGTTTTTGGGAAGGGTTTTCCCCTTAAAGGGTTTTTTAGGGGGGATTTTTTACCCCGGGTATTACCGGGGGTTTTTTTTTGGTGCTGTTTTTGTTTTTTCTTTTTACAGATTCCCCTTCCCCTGGGGTTTTTTTTTTAATCCCGGCCTTTTTTTTTCCAGGGGGTGCCGAAAACCGGGGGTACTTTTTCCCCTCCATAAAGAAGGCGGCCCCCCCCGGAAGGGGCCAACCCATGGGGGGTTCCCCCCCCCCCCCCCCCCCCTCCCTCCATTGTCTACGCGAGCTAGGATATAATACCACAATAAATGAAGACACTACTCTGAAGAGTGCACGAAACGGGCGAGTGGTATCTAGCATGCGCAGTCGTCGTCCTGCAGAGCATTACACACCCTGCAACACTTCACACCAAAGAAACGGTGCCCACTTCCCCCCAAGCCCCCTCTTTACCCCGTTGATCTCAAGCTCTCTCCTTGTTCTCACCGCTCGGCGTCAACTGCCCCCCGCCCGCCAGGTAATGTAGAAAGGATAGATAGGCTAGGACAACATTATTGAGCCACTTTTGGCAAAAGAAGTACGGAGGGATTGACCATCGGTGATCGGTCGGTCCTGTGGGAACAATGCTCCGTCCTCTCGAGGACGCGTGGTCAATGGCCTTGACTGCGACGTGGCATGCGGAAACATGTCCTCTCGAGGACGCGTGATCTAACCGCTAAAGCATGCAAAACATGAGCAACCCCCCCACCCCCCTACCGACAAACAGGTTACATCAAAGACCCAGGCGCTCCACGCCACGTGCGAGAGCCTCCTGTCGGAGCAGCACACCCTCGAGGCACAGGTCAAGGCCCTCTCCGCTCCCCTCCAGCGCTTCGGGGCTCTTCGGGAGCTAGGCCCCGCGCTTGGACTGCCGTTCGCCTCCCAGTCTTCGGCCGGCGGCGCCGGGGGCGAGGACGGGGCGCCGAGAAGGGCTTCGGTTGGGGTGGGGGCGGGGGGCGATGGGGCGAGGTGGGGAGGGGGGACTGGCTTGGTGAGAAGAGCTTCGTCCGGAGGAGGGGGGGGAGGACCGGGAGGGGGTCGAGTTCTGCTGCACCCCGGGAGCGACGAGTTTGCGGAGGTACGTGGGTGCGTTTTTTAATGTTTGTGTGTGTGCTGCTGTAAGCGGGACCTGCTGCTGCAGGTCCGGGGGTAGTTTATTTCGTTTAGTTTTGAACGGGGGGCGGAGGGGTGTTGAGGCAGCAAAGGTGTGCATTCCAACAGGCTATTGATTTCATAAGGGCTTACAAAGGGATATTGCGAGCTTGGGTTTAGCCGGTGTGTGTGCTTATACGTATCGGTGACCTGTTTTTTTTTTTAAGGGCAAGCGAGGATCTGCTGGCCCCTACGAGAGTTTGCGCGAAAAACTGGTCAACGCCATCTTTCCGTTTCATCGACCGCGAAGAGGTCCGGCCGGTAGAGCAAGCCTTCTTACTCATTCTCGAGTTGTCCGAGAACCGCTATACTACAATAGACGGTCACCGCTCGACCGCTTTCTTCGTGCCAATCGCGTTGGTCAACCCGACCCCCCCCCCCCCCCCCCCATTCATTATTGTCATGTTTATTACTTT